AAAACACCAGCCAAAACCAAAAAGCTGCTGAAAGGATTCCTGGTACAGCCTCCATGCTAGAGGAAGGGAAGGGAAAAAACTTCTGGCTTCAAGCTATCAAAAATAATCTGACTAAAGGAACAATGTGGGGTCCCTGGGCCAGGCTGTCTGGAGCACCGGACAGAGGGTTTGAACAGAGCCCTGGAGTTCCCAGGCTCCAGCCCTGACACCTGGTTCACCTTTAAAATACAGCAGCCATTTCTGGGCATAAAACAGATGACTAGGGAATAAAGTGTCATCATAAAATCACCCTAGGAGACCTAATTTTAAAATTTCTCTTTAAATTTCAGCTGAGTGAGGAGAATTAGGCAGATGTGAGTTTAGTTAAGGACCTGGGTCCAGTGGAGACTTAAATCCTGCAAGACAAATGCTGAATGCACACTGCCTTGTAGAATTAATGCTCCTTTTGTATTTAGACAACTTAAGTGGCTGGTTATGATGGTGAAGATGCACAATGAATTAGGCAAAATGAAATATTCTTTGATGCTCATTGAGCAGCAGAGCGAAGAACACTGCATGACCCATATCAAGCAGAGCTTAAGAGACATTATTTAAGCTAGCATGCATCTGTGACCTTGAGTATTTTATCTCTGATCCTGAGTATTTTTTTTTTGTATTTCAGGTATCAACAAAAAGGAGTCGGTGCCCATTGTGGATTGCTGCCAACCAACATCTTACATAGGCTGAAAATCTTTTAGTAATAAACATCTCGATGTGGTATGTTGGCAAAAGAGAAGACCCGAGAGTGAGTTCATATTAAAATTTAAAGCCTTAAAAAGTGGGATGGGAAAATAGTTTGAGAAGAAAGAACGGGACCAGCCTACTGTAAAGACAATGAAAGAATTACTGTTGCCATTTCATCCTTTGTGTGTGAGGTGAAAACCGTAATTTATTTTTGTGAGATATCTGAGCAACAAAACCTGACAACTGGAAATCACTAAAGAGGTGGTTTGCTGTTTTTAATGAGTGCCTTCTGCATCCCATCTTCTGTGGAGAAACCAGAACCTACAGAGCCTCATGGTGTGTCAGCAGATCTCAGCCTGTGCACAGACGTGTGCCTGAGTGCACATGCACTGCTTTTCCTTTCTTGTTTTCTTTTAAAAAAGAGCACTGCATAAGCAAAGCTTGTGGTACAAATTAGAGCAAAGCTAAATTATATTTAAAGTGTGAACTTGGGAATTGATGTGCCGGATTTTGTGCAAAACAATGCTCTGATTTTCTCATTTCTAAGTGCCTACTTCTAACCTTGTCACTTAAAGTTCCTTCGAGTTCCAGAAGCCATATGAGCTGAAGTGGGGTCTGGAAAGACAGCAGGCAGTACACAATGGAAATTGGAACACAGGAATTTCCCAAGCTCTGTTTTCTGAGGATTTGGTTGGAAGAACTGTTTTTCAAAAGAGATGAAGGGTGTTAGGCAGGATATGGGAGTCAGGGTGGTTTTTGTTAGAAGAACAAAATTTGTGCTGGGTGGCAGCCTGGCCCCTTGTAGTTTTGTGTGCTTACAGGACACTGTGGCAGATGCCCAAAGTCAGGTGTGTAGCACAAATGGGGTGAAGAGGGAAGGAAAGACTTTATTGGCAATGCAGTGATGAAGAATTAAGTTGTTGCACCTTGCTTCTCCTACACTTTTCCCTCTGATAGCAACTTCCCTTTACTTTCCTGGATTCAAATACAAGCTGGTAGGTCACAACAAGGCTTGGACTAGTGATTTTTTTACACCTTTGTCAACAAGCACTTCATTCTGTGTCTCTCTTCCCCCTTCACAGTGATTTTAGGCAAGTTGGCTGTAATTTCTATGTCCTTATTGAATGAGATGTCTTCAGTCTTCTGGGAATGGTGTGAACTTGGTTCCCCTCTCATGAGGCATGTCCAGTAGAGTGTTACATTCTTGTTACAGCTGTGAGCCCCTACTCACCTCTGCTTGGAGTTTGCAGCATCAGAGCGAGCAGTTCCTCAGGAAAGTGCTGCTCGTTGCCTGTGAGGGGAAAGTTTTGTCAAATGGTGAAGTCAGCCCCTTTTTGCAGGGAAATGGCATTGAACTCTGACAGGTTTATTCTATCTTGTGTCTCTTCAAGGTGGCACAGTTGTGTTCATGCTCTTTATCATAGGCATCCACAACACATTTGTAGCCAGAAGTTTAGCACAGGGCTGGCTTCAGTCTGTATTCCATCACCCTGCCTGACTGGTGACTCAATGGCCCTCAGGAGGAAATTGGGACTGCTCCTGTTGGGAGACATGGTGAGAGTCTTGGCACAGTCAGTTCCAGAAATCTCCTGACCAGTTTGGAAACCTAGTCTTGAACTAATACAACCTTTCTTCTTCTGGCTGATGGACATTCTGGGGAAAATACAGCTTATTTTGTATCTTGTGTTCTTTGTTAACCTGAATGTTTAAAAACAGTCATCTCTGATGGGACAGTTTGAACTGACTGTAGCTGGCTGCTGTCTCAGGACAGGAGCCAGCTGAGCCACTGGTCACACTGGTGTGACTGATCCCATTGCTGGTGGAAGTGACAGCTCAGACTCTGATGGATATTTCCATGCCAGCCTCAGTGGAGTTGTGTCAGATGTGACAAGCTGAGGCTTTGGGCTTGATTATGAATGACTGGGTGGTGCTGTGGTTTCTTGCCCTTTTCCTGCTCTGTATTCCTGATTTGTGGAGGTACAGAGACTGACTGCCTTGGAGAGGCCAGGGCTTCAAAAAGTAAAACTCCTATCAGTGCTGATAGAGCCAAGAATTTTCTGCTCTGCCTAGCATTGATATTGGTTGGCAGAACTTGCTTTGAATTTTTGAATGTATTTAATGCAGCCTAGCTTGTTTGGGGTGGAGATGCCCAGACCCACATGAAAAAGGACCTAGTAATTCCATATTTCAGCTGTAATTACCAAATGGAGAAAAGTGGAGAAACTAATTTGCAAAGTTATACTTGAAAATCATTCTAGCATAACATCATCATTACAATTATCTGTCAAAAGATTCAGTTCAATTACTTTTTTTAAGCTCTCTTGTCAAGATGGCCTTACTGGTTTCAGGATTGTGTTACTCCAAGGAGAGGTCAAGGAAGAGTGAATGCTAATTCTGTCATTAACCACTGTCAGACAGCCTTCAGTGCATATTATTTCTTGAAAATGCCTTTGCATTGTTACTGTGAGTAATCAATAGGAATAAAATGCCACAGAATTCATGGAGAAAAAAACATCCACTGCCTGTTTATAGACTGTAGTACGGTAAGGTGAGAGGAAGAGAACTTCAGTTTTAAGTGGTAATTTTGAAATAATTGAATAGCAGCACAATTCCTATAGTGTAAAAGATTACACAGGGTTACTTACATTTTCTTCACACAATGATAGGCCAGTAATAAAATTACAAGGGGAGAATATTCGATGTAATAAACCCAAATTAAACTGAATAAGCATCAGTGAACAGCACGATTTTGCAACTTCTTGCTGCTTTGTCATGTTGGGTAAATGTTGAGAGCTGGAAGGGTCTGGGATGCTCCTGAAGTGGAGGGTTTGGGACTTCTGAGTGAGCTGGGTGGGCAGATGTGTTACAGCATTTTTGGGAGGATTCCATTTCATTGACCTCAGTTTTGACTACTAATGCTGGTACTTTTGTTTCTATTTAGTTGAAACTGCTGTAAAATGTGTGCTGAATCTTTTGGTGCAAATAATAATTTCACAGTGATTTAGATGACTGCCTGCTTTATCTGATAATAAAGGTCCTGATCTAAAGTCTGTATCTTATACAGAGATGAATTCCTGGAATTTAAATATATCAGGCCACTAAAAATCCCGTGACTTCAAGCTAAGCATATATTTGAGGACTCTAGCTTATAATTCAGCATTTCTCTTTGAGAGAGATGGGCTTGGAATGAGCAGCTGACAGAACAGGAGGACACAGTCTCAAGCTGTGCCAAGGGAAATACAGGTTGGATATTGAGAAAAAGATTTTACAGAAAGGGTGATAAAGTACTGGAATGGTCTGCCCAGGGAGGAGGTGGAGTCACCATCTCTGGATGTGTTTAAAGAAAAGACTGGATGTGGCACTCAGTGCCACGGTTTAGTTGAGGTGTTAGAGCTGGTTTGGACTCGATGATCTTGGAGGTCTCTTCCAGCCTAGTCATTCTGTGATTTGATGAATTCAGATTTGTTCTACATGTATTTAAGTGCAGAGAAGGAGACTCAGTTTGCTCTTACTGTCTTTTCTTGAATGGCATGGTGCTTGTAAATGAAAACAGAATTAGTTCCAGTAACTATATAAAATTAAAACTAAAATTCTAAACTAGATTTTCCTTTTTCTTTTTTAATGAACATAATATAAAGCCTGTAGTAAACGTCACAGGTGAGAATCTTGAGATCTACATTCATTGATTTCTGATTTTTTTTCACCTTTCTTTACCTCATTGTATAGGAGAAATTTCTGAAACAGCATTAATTGTAGGCAATTGTAGGCATTGTAGGAGCTTTTACAAGGCCACAAGTGGGAAAGTAAGGTTGCTAAGAGAGATTGCATGATTAACCTACTCTGTGTGTTTTCCTGAACAATATGAATTTAAGTGTGTGACATGTTTGTATGGGACAAAGCTAATTATGACCATCAGGATTTGCCCCTCAAATAACGTATAAAAATCTGCCAGATTAGACCCATACTACTTCAAATAAACTGTTACATCTTGTGATTTTTTTTCTTTGAGAGCAAAATGGTATTTTTGAGGTGTCATTTAAAAAAAACCAACCCTTTTGTCTGATAGTAAGAGGTACATTGTTCATACATGGTAACTTTGAACTGTTATGTTTTCCTATTCCTGCCTAAACATAAACAGAGAAGTTGTTACATTAAGCCATTGCCCTGTAATGGTTCTTTGAGAAATGTTTAACTGTAGCTGCTGCTTTGTTGTAGTGAAAAGCTGTGATTCAGACTTTGTACTATGTTTGCATTTCAGCTGTCACAGAAAGTGAAAGATGAAGCCTCTTGTTTTCTTGGTTCTTGTGATTTGTACTGTAGTCAGCATGAATTTGAAGTTCGTGTCAAAGAGAAATTCTGGTAAGTCACAGAAAATTATTTTTACTTTTGGATCTGGACCTCATGCTATCAAGCATTTTAGATGGCTGGATTTTGTTTTGCATGTATACTGCTTGTTCTGTTCTGCCTCCAAAAAAAAAAAAAAGTCATAACTGGCATGGTTTGCTTAGTAAAAGAAAACTGTTTGAAAGTGTCCTTACATTTTCTTTTGTCAAAAAAAAAAAAAAGTCATACCTGGCATGGTTTGCTTAGTAAAAGAAAACTGTTTGAAAGTGTCCTTACATTTTCTTTTGTCAAAAAAAAAAAAAAGTCATACCTGGCATGGTTTGCTTAGTAAAAGAAAACTGTTTGAAAGTGTCCTTACATTTTCTTTTGTCAAAAAAAAAAAAAAGTCATACCTGGCATGGTTTGCTTAGTAAAAGAAAACTGTTTGAAAGTGTCCTTACATTTTCTTTTGTCAAAAAAAAAAAAAAGTCATACCTGGCATGGTTTGCTTAGTAAAAGAAAACTGTTTGAAAGTGTCCTTACATTTTCTTTTGTCAAAAAAAAAAAAAAGTCATACCTGGCATGGTTTGCTTAGTAAAAGAAAACTGTTTGAAAGTGTCCTTACATTTTCTTTTGTCAAAAAAAAAAAAAAGTCATACCTGGCATGGTTTGCTTAGTAAAAGAAAACTGTTTGAAAGTGTCCTTACATTTTCTTTTGTCAAAAAAAAAAAAAAGTCATACCTGGCATGGTTTGCTTAGTAAAAGAAAACTGTTTGAAAGTGTCCTTACATTTTCTTTTGTCAAAAAAAAAAAAAAGTCATACCTGGCATGGTTTGCTTAGTAAAAGAAAACTGTTTGAAAGTGTCCTTACATTTTCTTTTGTCAAAAAAAAAAAAAAGGAAAAAAAAAAAGTTGATTGGGTTGAAACCTCAAGCAGAGGTATTACAAAGGTAATAATGACCTTGGCATTGTGGCATTGTTCTAACATCCAGTCTTTTACTTACGATAAGGGAGTTTCTTAACCGTGGATGTGGTCTGTGGTGAGTTTTAGGTCTGGATGATTTTTTGTATGTTGAAAGGTCATGTTTGAAAACATTATGCTGGCCAGACATGTGATCATGTATAGTGTTAACTGGGAAGAGCTTTCCTGAGTAGATAATCTCTGATTATTCTGTCAGTGAAAGAGACTGGGAATTGGTTCATGTTTACATCTGCTTCTGAAACCTTCTGGTAGTAACAGAACACTTTAAAGAAGCATCAGAATCTCTCCTTCCAGGGTAGACAGTTCATCTGGATAATGGTTTATCTGTACTTGAGCCTGAAGTGAGACATGCTCTGCTCCATGCAGCTTTGCCCTCTCAAAGGAGTGACTTCATGAGACTTTGTATTTCTCAAGTAAACTGTGAGTTTAGAAGACCCTGGGCAGACGGGCAGGTCAGCTGCAGTGCTACACAGCGGTGTCAGTCTGCTACAGCCTGGTGTGTATGTAAGGGGAAGTGTTGGACTGTTAAACTTTTGATTGCATGTTGTTTTTCCACACTGTGTGTTTACTGACATATGTGAGGGCTTTCACTGATCCTGCTGTCCTCAAGGTCTTCAGTCTTTTCAACACTGCAGGTACAAACAGAAATCACTGACTTCAGCTGGTGTCACATGTGTTAAGTTTAATTTCTGCATTTCTTGAGAGCAGAGGAGAAAATTGTTGGGCTACCTATTAAAAAGAATTACATGTCACATCCCAGGCTAAGAAGTGTTACTCTGGGAGCTGCCAGATGCTGGCCTGGAAAGTGTAAATGGAAGTTGCTAAACTGAATTTGTCTCTGGCCTTTTGTTGGGGTTATTGTGTCCAGAACCCGGGTTGTGCTGTGGGAGCAGTCATGGCTATTGGGGTTTGGCTACGGTGCATCTTGGTCTAAACTCTGCTGAGGGTGATGGTGTTCTTGTTCTTCAAAACTGCTGTCACTGGCCTAGATGGAAACTCTCTGAGACCCACAATCAGTGTAAGTGAACAGCCTCTATTCACTGGTGCCAGGCAACAGCACCTGGCTGCGAGCAAGGGCTGTGCAATTCCTCTGCCAGAAGTGCCTGGCTGTAGAAGTGACATGCTGGTGGTTGTAGCATCATTCAGCTGGTAGTTTACCTTTCATTAGATATATATTTTTAAAATCTGCTTTCTTTGACTCTGCACAATGTCTTGTGGTAATAGCAGTTGTTGACACTGTCAATTTAGGTTCAGTACTGGTGGGAAAAATGCTTTAATATGTTAGACTGCCTCTTGCTAAATATAACACACTAGTGAATAAGTGGTTCTTTTTCATTTCATCTGATTGTGCCAGTATGTGTGGAGAATAAGATGAAGAGGAAAAAATGCACATAAAGTAAAATTATAGTTTCTTTGCAAGTATATAATCATGTAGTTGGCTTTCACCTTCAGTACTCACTCTGGTTGCTGCATGGAGCAAACTGTAGATTTCTTTTTTTTTTTTTTTGCTTTTCCCACTACATTGTGTGTGAAGTAATTTTCTGTTTCTGTGATATCAGCACTTGGATTAAAATTAATAATTTGATTCCTTTTCTGAAAGGTCTTTAGATTTGAAGGACTGTTGTTTGATTGCTTGGGGCTTCACAAATGTTGTATGTTGTGAAGAGAGAGATGCTCCAGCTTTAATTGTTTGTATAGTTTTAGTAGAAGATCAGGGACAATGGGTGGATGCAGACAGGCAAACGCACAAAGAAACAATGTCAGCATATTTTCCATAGAGTTACAGTAGCTGTAACATCCTGGTGGTGTAGTTCAGAGTTTTGGGCTTTTTTTACACTGGTGTCTTGATGAAGGAGAGTGGAAATTAATGTAATGGTTATTTGTGGGCAGCTGCACTGCAGTGTAAACTGAAGGATATCTGGAAGCAGGAATAGTGTTCTAGCTGTAGATTAGAGCTGAGGTGGGGGAGTGGCTGAAGGGCCCAAAGGATGCTCTGTGGACAGGATCTCTGCAGCAGTGTCTGGATGGGCACTGTGGTCCTGGATCTTGCTGGTTGTTGGTATGGGTATGTCTGTGCTGGTGAGCATCCTGAAAAGGGGAAGGGAAATTGTGCAGACAGTTATGTAGAGCAGTGTGAAGCAGTGCATAGAAGGTGCTGACACTGATGATAAAGACAGATTTGGGCTACTAGAACAATAAACCAGCAAAATTGGTGTCTTTGCTGACCTATGTAGACTGGCATTTTTTCTAAGCAATGCATAGAATTATTGCATGAATGGCCAGAATTGTGATTAGTGTCGAGTACAAGAGCAATTATGAGGTTGACTGGCATGTGTGTAATATCACATAATGGAATGTATCTTGCTTAAGGGGCAGGGAGGATCTAAAGAGAGCTGACTTGAAGAGGAGCAAGGAGAAGGTGAGCTGGTGTTGTCAGGTAATACAAAGGCATCGCTCAACCAAGGCAGTCAAAATGGGGGCAGAATTTCCAGAAGGGCTTTATAGGTGAAACTGGAGTTGACTTAGAGAGGAAAGGTTTGGCTAGGAAAGCATCTTCAGAGGCTGGTGCAGAAATTTTCCTTCAAAATCAAGGATTGGAAACCCAGGGGGAAAATGTTGAGGATGAGAACTCCGGACAGCAAGTGCAGACAGTACACAGAGACTGGACAACAGGCAAGAGTCATTAAAGAGAGGCCAGGAGCGGAGGATCTAAGATGTTAAACAGAAGGTGATGAAATGGTGCTCCAGCTGCAAGCACAGAACTGTAGTCTGCTGAAGAAAGAATCCTCATGGAAGGGAACAGACAAACAGAACTGAAAGATTTTTCTCATGTCCTTTACTTGCCCTTTGTTACAGATTTAGGTGTCCATATTTCCCATTTGGAAAAGAGAAGCAGGGATGCATATGAAGACTGCAAATAGATTCAGAGTACCCTGCAACGCTGCAAAAATGACACAAACTTGTAGCAAAACAAATTTGTTTGGCTGCTTCTCACTTGAGATGTGGTGCCAAAATAATTAAAATGGGTGAGCTACTTTAATTATGTTCATCAGATTCTTTTTACAGGCAGCAACTTCCCAATGCTCCAGAAGAAATCTGTCATGTCTACAGAGTAACGATTGCTGTTTGTGGTGGGAGCAGAATAGCTTGCCTTAAGCTTCTGTGTGAGTGTAATGTTGACTTAAGTTTCACAGGCATTTCTTAATATTAAGAAGCATTTTTGAAAACTGCAGGTCATCTTTTTTGCCTGCTTTAAAACTGAGCAAACAGCTAATGTGGAGACTGCAGCTTTAGCAATATCCTAGGAAGGGTATTTTACAGGTGGAGGTTGTACAAATGAATTGGAGATGTGGGAGTTGCTAGGTTCCCAGCTGGTAGGTGATTGCCTTTTAATCGGATTAAGTGACTTCTTTTTCCAAAGCCTTTATATATATAGTGCTTTGAATAATCATAGCAGGGAATATAATTCCAATTAAAAATCACTGCCTTTTTTAAGCAAAAGATTTGTCAGCTTAAAGATTCTGTTTGACTTACTAGACATAATTCCATTAGTGAATAATTAATGCCATTTATTGTTGCTGTAGTATTTGCTGAGCTGAAATACCCTGTCTGAGCACGCTAGAGCTCTGGAGGGCATGCCAGCCTTGAGTGGAGGAGCAGGGGCAGACATCCCCAAGGTTTCTGTCAGGCTGCTGGCTGCAGGGCATTTAGGAGCCTTTCTGCAGGTTAACACAGCTTAATTGGCTCAGGTACGGTGTAGCAATGGGGAACAAAGACACAGACTTCCTTCTTGCTTGCTCCAAAGAAAACCGTTTACTGCAACAAACCAAGCTTTTTATGTTCTAAACATAACCCAAAGCAGCCCTGGTTGGCTGCGTGCTGCTGCGGGGTCGCTGCTCAGGTGTCCCGTTACCAAGCAGCTCTCCCACCGCGGCAGCCACACAGCCTGTGCTCGGGTTATAGAGCCTGTCTGTCACCTCGCTGGAACCTTCCCCAGAGTGCTTTATGGTGTGCAAGGTGAACTGAATTCAACAGGATTTCTTATCTCCCACAG